TTCATTTTTATTCATTCATCGTCTGATTCAATCAACAATGAAAAATCCAGTAAATAGCAAAAATCTAACCAAGTGACGAGATTGGACCAACCCACTACTACAAGCTCTATAATAGACAACATAACGAATAAGGTCCAATAATGATAAAAAAAAAACTAAATCTCGATGATTAATATCCGCATCAGATTATCTAATTGTTAAGGCAAAACCCAACAAGTTCTTTCCCCTTGAATCAAAGAAGGGGTAAAGTCACACACAACGCGTTCAGAGAAATTTACAAACTCACGAAATAACAACAATTTCACTTCACAAATTTTCTGTGTGGCCACATTGTCCATAAAACAGCTATTCATGGCTCTAATAATAATATAAAAAAACATTAATAATAAGAAACCTCAAAGGAATTAAAATGCTAAACCAATTTTTTATACAAATGTCCCTGCTCCTCTGTGAGAACAAAGACAATGAGCAGTGACAACATATTTTGCAAAACCAGAGCAGCAAAAACGTTCCTTTATATATATGACAGAATATTTCGAAGATTTCATGCTAGACATTTATACATGGGACTTGAATATTACAAGAAATAAGCTTACACGAATCACACAAAAGTTTACTTTGCCACAGTAACATAAGCGATCATTGCAAAAGCTTTTGATGCAGAGACTCAGCTACAAAACATTTACATACCATGTCCTATGAAAAGTCAAGTTATTGAGGTCGGAAAAACGGGTCTTCTTCATTCTTGTAGATTGTAAATAACTGCTTGGAGTAGTGCGTAGCCAGTTTTCGGCAGAGTTCAGCCCCCCTTGGATTGTATTCTTGCAACTCCTCCACAGATTTCTTCACATCGCCTTGTAGATCTCCATCAGTAAGAAATTCCCCCAAGGCACTGCCTCTGTAAGGTTGTAATGAGAGAGTAATTCATTAAAATCTTAAAAATAGTTACATCATCACACCAATAAAACATATCAACAATGATCAACCAAACAAGACATTGGACATATGCGCGTGTAAAATCTAAATCCCTTACTTGAATGCATCACACTGGCTAAATCCTCGTCCATTGAGAACTATTGCTGATTTACTAGATTTCTCTACAGATGTTTGTTGCCGATAAAGTGCACATACTGCCTTCATGCACACTTCAGGATGCTTACCAAAATCAGCAAGCATATCTGCCTCGAAGTCCCACTTCTTATGTTTTCTCGCCCTCCGAAAAACGGATATGATTTCATCATAGCTGGCACCACCTTGTGATGCATTTTCTAAATCACCAGAAGAGTCCTCACTAAAGCAAGTGCCATCACCCTCAGAAATGTTATTACCATTGGTAGTGGCATTGCCCTCTGAAATATCAGAGTCATTAACAATAAATCCACCCAAGCTTTCACCCTCACTGTCTGTGTCCTCCTCTTCCGTTTCATCACCTTCAAAGGTCTCATTTGTAGGTTCTGCACTTTTAAATTTACTTTTCCCAGAACGACCTTTCTCTTCAATTTTTCCCAGCCTCACTAAGTGTCGTCGTGTCACAGGTTTTCTGAATTTGTCCCTGGAATTGGTATCTTTCACAGAGTATCTGTTCACATGGAAATCTGGATTAAGTTCCTGTAGGGATTTACTTTTTAGTCTACAAATTGGAATATTATCATCATCATCATTTTCACTCTCGCTGGTAACAATATTAGAAGCTCTTTTTCTCTTAGCAGTTGAAGTAAGTAGGACCTCTTCATCACTACTGTATTCAAGAATCCTCGAATGTCTATCTTTTGAGGGAAACTCTTTTTTATCTACAGTAACCCTTGATCCACCATCAAATGAACCACAAACCTTTTCTCTTCCTTGAAGCTGGTTGGGGTTTGGATCGTCGTCGCTGTCACTGATATCAATAGGACCAATAGGACGCCTAGAACCCCCTGGTGTTAAGGGAGCCATCTTCTTACTTGGGCTCTCTTCGGCAAAGCCAAGACGCTTTCTAACTTGGCTACCATTTTTCAGTTTTGAGTCACAAGGAATGCCTCGTTCCTCTTCTTCAGCATGTGTCAACTCCTTACATGGTGTTCTAACTGTGCAGTTTGAGCAACATAGTAGCGGATATGAAAATAGATATAGAAAAAACAATATTATTTGTACACACAAAGATTAAATGCATGAATTATTCATTTTTATTTTAAGATAGCATAAAAACTCCACTTTATCCATCCAACCACTATTCCTGTTACATTATTGTGGATAATTATTTTACCAAAAATATCAGCCTTCATTTGCTTAAATTCTCACAAACCACTAACATTTCAAAATATTTAAAAGAAAATAGCAATAATATTACCTGACACATGATGAAGCTCATTTGCTTTATCTTTTGTTCTGGTTTGCAAAGGTGTGGACCTGGCTCCACCATCAATTCCATCTTTCTTTATAACCAATTCACTCAGCTTATCCGAATCTATTTCGGGCAAAAGCAATCCCCCTTTTACCATTCCAGTAGACATTCTTCCATGCAACTCCATCACCAACAGCTCTAGTTCTTTATATTTAGCCTCCCAGATCTTTACCTCGCTTTCAGACTTCATTTTCTCACAATCCAAAACCCTATTCTCAATCAACAATTGTGTGACCTTATCTTCCCCGTCCTTCTCAGTCAAATCAACTACTTCGTCTATCGCTTTTTCACCATTCCCAATTATCCTTTCAAGCTCTTTATTCCTCTCCTCTAATATCCTAGCCTCTTCCTCAATTGCAAGCTTATGAAGTTCCGAAAAACTGAGCTTAGCCTCCAGAAATTTAAGTGCTTTATTTTTCTTCTCCATATCTAATTCCAAGGTAGTACATTTTTCTTTCAATTTCTTAAATTTATCTTCATATTCTAAACAACTATTGCAACTTTCAAATTCTTTCTTTACAGCATTCTTACCATTCTCTAATTTTACCTCAATATCCACATCCATCAATTCATCAATGATCAATCTCCATAAGCCCTAATTTTAAAAAAAAAAAAAATATATGTAAAAACCCGTTAAAATTCGGAAAATCAAAATTAAAATCTATAATAAGAACTGCATAAAAAAATATGTCTAAAAAATCTTCCTGGGAGGAATATATTTATAGAAAATATATTGAAAATATATTCCACATCCATCAATTCATCAATCTCCATAAACCCTAATTTAAAAAAATTATGTAAAAACCCGTTAAAATTCGGAAAATCAAAATTAAAATCTATAATAAGAACTGCATAAAAAAATATGTCTGAAAAATCTTCCTGGGCAGAATATATTATAGAAAAACAAAGGAAAACCTGAACGCACAATATGCAAAAATACAGAACAAAAGCGACGAAATCATATAATTTTCATATAAATTCATAATGATTTACAGTAAAACTATAAAATCAACCAGAATAATTAAAGGGCAGAAAATTAAAAGGAAGAAATGGAGAGAACTTACGAACAGGCGCAAATGATTCGAAGGGTTTTGAGAGCAGTGCAGTGAAACAAACGGTCACCAATCAGGTGATGTTTTTGGTTTATAAAATGTTTTATTTCCTGTACCTAATGCGATTATAGTTTGAGTTTGTCACAAGAAGAAGGCTTTTTAAATCGTATGCCACTCAATTTATACATTTGATTCATATTGCTCATTCAATTTCGATTTCTTACAATTTGATCACTCAAGTTATACGTTTAGTTCAATTGACCATGACAAAAACAAGTGATTAATCTCATATTAATGCATGATCTAGTGCTTGTTTAAACAAGGAATTTAATCGATTGTCATGTGTTATATAATGACCATTCCTGACTTGAAATGATGAAAGATTGCATTATATGAAAATTTTGAATAACTTTGAATGGGGTCAGTGATTCTTACACATTAATTGATTGCCCTGTCATGTATTTCGTATCTACGTATTACTGTTTACAATTTAATGAACATATATTTAATCAACTAAAAATTCATTGTATTTTACATTTCTAATCAATTGAATATGAAGTGATCTTGTTGGGCTTTTGATACCCATTAAATTTCGGATAATGATGTTAAACCGATATTGGATAATTTATATCAATACATTATTGATGGCTCAACCCGAAAATAAATTGGGATCACTGGAAGTAACTTAATTGAGTTAATATTGCTTGTGGACCAACACTTTTGGATTGCCCAAATTGTGGCTTTGTATTGGTGGTAATATATTGGTTATTAGGTTTGTTGGCCATTAGCTCCTCATTCTTGGCCCTACTTGTGATAACCTAAGTAATATATATTTGGCTTCCTACTACAGTCGTTTCTATGTGTTGGTCTCTGAGAAAGAGATAAAAACATTAGGTTTGAACAGTTTTGGTTTTTCTTCCTTGAGGTTGCAATTGCTACTCTATTTCCTCTTCCTTTTTGGCTTGTAAACCAATCACTAAGTGTACCATTTTGTGGGGCAAAACTTGTGGCAACCAAGTGGGTAAAGTTGTGGGTCGAGCCTCCTCGCTTGGAATTTGTTTGGTTGATTAAACTAAACCCGAATCAAAATTTCTCGAAGCTTTTCGTGACAAATGATATCAGAGCTTGGTTAGTTGTGAAATCTATGATTTTTGGAGTGAAAAATCGACCAACAGTGTCCAGAAACATTGTTGGAAACTTGTAGAAAAACATATACAGAAACTGTCCAGATTTTGGAAAAACGAATTGGACCTATTGCTCTATTTTCGATGAAACGGTGACCACTGGTGGACAGTGCAGGCGGACGCGCACCTGATGGTCCGACGTGTGACGGACGAAGGCGTCTCATGTGTCGAAGTAGGAAACCCACGCGCAAAGATAGTGGTGGCGTGTGGAAGTGCATGGGAAGTTTTTCGACGATGACGTCTTCAGGCAGAATGTTTCCGGTGGTGTGATGGACCCTGTGGTGGTGTCCGTTTTTAGTTTTGGATGATACGGTGAAAATTGAACGATTTTGCCCTTCGACATTCAGGCGTTAGGTGTTGTGTTGTTGCAATTGTCGGAAGCTTTGAGATGGATATTGATAGTCCTAAAGTGATAAATTTGCATCATCGATATTACAGACCCTCAAATGTGATTCTCTCGATATCGTGTTCTTTCTCTTTCATTTTTGTTGTTATGGTTATTGTGTAGGATGACAATTAACTTTTGCATTAGAAGTCATCGTGTGGCATGACATTAGAATTGAGATTACCGTGAAAGGGTAACCATTGCATGTTGTTGGACCTAAAAATTACTTATTAATTATTTGCCTTAAATTCTTTGTGAATTTGTTGTCAATTATTTTTTTCATCGTTAGAATTGTACATGACCTTAGGTTATTTGACCATTCTATGTAAATTATGTTTGTACTTTCCCTGTGGTCGTTAATTGGTTTCAATTTTGTGTTTTATGCACATTTTAAAGAAAATGACAACATGTTTTAAGTTGTATTTTTTTCTAATAAAGATATGATTTTGCAATTTGACAAAATGGAAAGGTTTTTCATAAAACTTTTGACGACAAATGTAGATTTAAGGAAGTAGGAAAAGTAAGATATATTTTAACTGTGATAAATTTGGACATGGTGAAATAAAATTGTCCTATAAATGACAGTAAAAGGAAAGATGAGGCGAATATGGTTATTGGGTCAAGTTATGATTTAAGTGAGGTTTATTGAGAGTAAACCTTATTACTGTATGTGTATCTGCGTGTAATCTTTTCTACATATGTGTGATTGCTTAATTCTATTACATGATTATATGTCACATTTCAATATGTTTGTGTGCTTTTGTATGAATTTGAGAGGAATCTGATTACTTTGTGTAATGTGTATATGAATAGTGGGTTGATATCTATGGCGTGCTCCTTTTGCTCTGTGAGTGGTGTGAGAAGAAAGAGGGGCGGCCATTTTCTCTTTCATATTTGTGAGCCTATGTGGTTTGTGAAATTATGTGAGGCAGCCATATGTAGGTTATCTTCTTTCTCTTTGTGAGCCTCTTTTGTGAGTGTATTGAAGTAACCAACTTTTTCTTCTATTCTCTTTGTGAGTACTACTTTCACCTAATTTCTCTATAGATTTTTTGAGCATTGGTGTTGGAGTAACTTTGTGGTGCGTGAGTTGATTTAAATTGAGCTCTAAGCTTCATGGTCGCCAATGTGTTGATTTGCCATAGTGGGTTTATGATGCATTAGCAGTGAGGATGTCTATTGGTATTGTGGAGTATAGATGCCTAGAGGTACATTGGTGGTTTGTACCGGGATGTGGAGTGTGATATTTAGATCAGGAGTTTAGAGGTGATTAAATGTTAGAATCTTCTATTTGTGAAAAGACCTTGATCAGGTGGAGTGTGAGAGAAGCACTTCTATCACTTCGATTAGGTGGAAACTCATTATTCACTTATGTTGGGAGAAGTGATGTAGTGATAGACAATTATCCTAAGAACTTAGGATCTATAGGGATTTACCAGTTAGACATGAGTTGAATCACCAATCTAGTGAGCATGGTGGGCGATGAGAGGAGATATGTGTTCTTAAGGTGTGAGCAACATGAAATGTGATAGGATAAGTATGGTGAGGTTTTTTTCGTGGGGTCATTTATACATTTGTTGCATGTGTTTTGATCGTTTGATTAATTAATTTGGTGTTAATCCGTTGTTCTGTGTGAATATGTTTTTGAAAAGACACGTGGATTCTAATTTTATTGATTACCTTGATTAGGTAAGTATAAACTTTATATTTTATTTGATTGCAAGTTGATTGAGTATCAAAGTGAAGATTTGTTGGATTTTTTATATCCAATAAATTTCAGGCGGTGACGTTAGATTGATGTTTGATAATTTATATTGACAACTTAGTGATGGCTCTACTCAAAAATAATTTGGGGCCACTAACAGCAACTTAATTGAGTTAATATTGCTCGTGGCCCAACACTTTTGAATTCCCAAGTTGTGGCTTTGCGTTAGTTGTAATAAATTGGTTATTAGGTTTGTTGGCCCATTAGCTCAGCATTCTTGGCCCAACTTGTGATAATCTAAGTAATATATATCTGGCTTCCTGCTACAGTAGTTTCTATGTGTTGGTTTGTGAGAAAGAGAGAAAAATGCGAGGTTTGGTCGATTTTGGTTCTTCTTCCTTGAGGTTCCAATTGCTATTCTATTTCCTCTTCCTCTTTGGCTTGCAAACTAATCACCAAGTGTACTCTTTTGTGGGGTGAAAACTTGGTGTTTGTTTGGTTGATTAAATTGAGCCCTGATCAAGATTTTCGCGACAAATCTATTAAATATATGTTAAATTAACAATAAATAAATAAATTTATTGTACTTATGTATTTAATTAAGGGTGTGTTTGAGCCAAATTATTTTTCGAAAAATGTATTTTGAAATAGTAAATTGATAGAGAATGTGTGGTTGAAAAAAGAAGGAAAAGTTATTGATGTGATGAGAAATATTATTTTATTGAAAAATGTGTGGTTGAAAATGAGTAGAAGAATGAGAATGAAAATTTTAATATGTACCAAACAGTGGCTAAATGGTATTAATGGTATGTTAAGTGTAACTTTTCGTTAAGAATATTNTGATGGAAAATGTGTGGTTAAAATTGAAGAAAAAGTTATTGCTGTGATGAGAAATATTATTTTATTGAAAAATGTGTGATTGAAAATAAGTAGAAAAATGAGAATGAAAATTTTAATGTGTCTCAAAAAGGAGCTAAACAATATTCATTGTAATTGCATGAATTTTAATTAAATGCATGCAACGAATTAGATTAAAATAATATTTATATAAAAAACACAAAGTTTTCTTATATTTCATAGTTACAATAGATTTGGAGCATGCTGCGTGCAAGGAAACACTTAAAGCATCAACAGTGCTTCAAAAAAATTTATTGCAATTCGAGAATTCTACCCTAGAACTTCTAGATGCAATAAGAAAAATTTAATTATGAGATCCAATTAGATTTAAAATTCAATAAA